GTTGAAATGTATGGCTGTGAAGGTTGGACCACAAGAAAGGCTGAGCATCAAAGAATTGAGGCCTTTGAACTGGTGCTGGAGAAGACTCCTGCGAGTCACTTGGACTGCAAGGCGATCAAACCGGTCAGTCCTAGAGGAGATCAACCCTGACTGCTCTTTAGAAGGCCAGATCCTGAAGAGGAAACTCAAATACTTTGGCCCCCTAATGAGAAGGAAGGACTCACAGGAGAAGAGCCTAATGCTGGGAACGATGGAGGGCAAAAGAAGAAAGGATGACAGAGAATGATGGCTGGATGGAGTCACTGAAGCAGCAGGCGTGAGCTTAAATGGACTCCAGGGGATGGTAGCAATAGCAATAGCAGTTAGACTTATATACCGCTTCGTATGGCTTTCAGCTCTCTCTAAGCAGTTTACAGAGTCAGCATATTGCCGCCACAGTCTGGGTCCTCATTTTACCCACCTCGGAAGGATGGAAGGCTGACTCAACCCTGAGCCGGTGAGATTTGAACAGCCGAACTACAGATAACAGTTAGCTGAAATAGCTGCAGTACAGCACTCCAACCACTGCGCCACCTCGGCTCTCAAAGGTAGAGGACAGGAAGGCCTGGAGGAACGTTGAACGTTGTCCATGGGGTCATGATAGGTCGGACACAACTTTGCAACTAACAACAACAACAAAGGAACTTTGGATGCCCTAGTTTGAAAATAAATAAATAAGGGGAGCCATAATAGATGTGTTCAGGTTCAGCTATAGGAAAGATGATCATAATTTTTTTCTACGCCTACAGAAACTATGACAAAGAACAAAAAATATTACCCTGCAACTCCCTAGATTTAATTTAAATACATGCAGTCTTTGACTTATGATGACAATTGAGCCCAAAATCTCTGTTGTTAAGTGAGATTTGTTAAGTAAGTTTATCCCCATTTTACCGCCTTTCTTGCCACAGTTATTAAGTGAATCACTGCAGATGGTAACTTAGTAACCCAGTTGTTAAGTGAATCTGGCTTGTCCATTGACTTTGCTTGTCAGAAGATTGCAAAAGGTGATCCCATGACAGCCAGGACATAGCAAACATCATCAATATGAACCTTTTGCCAAGCATCTGAATTTTGATTACGTGACCATGGGGATGCTTCAATGGTCATAACTGTGAAAAACCGTCATAAGCTATATTTTTCAACACCATTGTAAATTTGAACGGTCACTAAACAAACTGCTGTTAAGTCAAGGACTACCTGTATAATGAAATTGTACAATGGTGGAACAATCTATCTGGCTATTTTAAGAAAAGACCGGACAGTTAGTTTCAATATTGCAGAGATTTGAATTGGAGGATGATTCCTTCCAACTCTGTAATGCTATGAAATTGATTATGACCATTTTCAAGGGCATCTTTAGGCCTCTATGTTTGATAGCTTTGGCCACCAAGTGTCTCTGATGAAGATGAGCCCGTTGCTCTCATCTTTGGCTGGCTAGATGCCACTCATTTTCTGTGAAGAGAAAGACTTTACCTGTTGACCTTTAAAGCATTTGTTCATGTGCATCGAACCAATGCCATTCACCATCCAGCCTTTCATGTAGAAATCCAATTAAACCCTTGGCAGCATCAAAGAAGCAGATTCTTGAAGCATTATAAGGGGCTGCATGGCTTTCTGTAGTGTACAAATTAAAGCCTTTTTAGCAAAATATATCAAGTAATATTTCTGAAAAAGCAATACAGCCAGCATTGCACAGCAACATCCTGATAAAACATAATTTCAAGATTACATCATCTGTTCATTTATACAATAAATGTACACATATTTGCAACACTGGTTTCACCAACTACCTTAAGCTATGATTTATTTAACCATTTTCCCCCCACTATTCCACAATTAGCTAGGTTGACATGCTAAGCTCAAAACTCCAGGGTTATAAATGGTGATGGTTGAATTCATCCATTGCAATGGATATTATTTACTTGGCATTGGCTTAGTATCTTCTTTGAATCCAGCCGTAAAAAGAATGCTTTAGATGCCATATAGGTTTTAGCACCATGATATAATAGCACCCATATTGAAAAACAAAATTGATTAATTCAGTCAGAGGTATAAATCTGCTATACACAAACACGGCAACTTTTACAATTCTTCACAGATAGAATTTCAGAAGAAAATTGCAATCCTAGGAAGGGAAAGTGTTGTCTGGAAAACCTCCCATCAATTTTTTTTAGTATAAGCCAGGGGTCTCAAACTCAAGGTTCGGGGGCCGGATCTGGCCCGCGGGATGCTTAGATCTGGCCCACGGGGCTGCTCTGGAAACAGCGAAGGACCAGCCCGCAGTGCCTCTGCCAGTGAAACGGACAGCCTTCCCAAGCTCTGTTTTTGCTGGCAGAGGCCGTTGCAGCTGAAAACGAAACTCAGGAACCCTTTTCACTGGCAGTGTCAAAAACGGTGTCACTCACCCCCAACACAAGTGATGTTGAGCTGGCCATGCCCACTCTGGCCACGCCCCTCCAGGTCCATCACAACCCTGATGCGGCCCTCAATGAAATCGAGTTTGACACCCCTGGTGTAAGCCATGCTGGCTGAATTTTAAAAAAAATATCTGAAGAGCCTCAGGTTCTACAACCGTAGCTTCAAAAATGGCCATTTTTGAAAAGGGGATATTTAAGTCAGTGGATGACAATGCTAACTTGTACATTAATAAGCCTCTGAACTAGACCAGGGGTCGGCAACCTTAAACCCTAAAAGAGCCATTTGGACCCGTTTCCCACAGAAAACACTGGGAGCCACAAAACCCTTCCCGTGCCTGACTATTTCCTGAGTGCTCTCAAAACCAGCATATGTATTTGAATTAAAGGTTCTGTTTTCTTCTGAAACTTTTCTTTTCTTGGATTTATCCATGGTTGGCCTACTGAGAGTCAAAAAGCTCAATAAATTGTGTGCTGACGGATGTTGCACATTGGCGGTTGTGGCACATATTTTTAGTGACAGGGAGCCACAGCAGAGAGATGAAAGAGCCACAAGTGGCTCCAGAGCCGCATATTGCTGACCCCTGACCTAGCCGTTTTAATATAGAATAAGACCCATACCTGGATATATCAAAATCTTTTTCTACTTTCAATAGAGCTTTCTTGCGGAATCAACATAAAAACTGATTCATTAAAGCAAGGAAACCTTATTTAAACTGGGCCAGAAAGATCGAGACGGGAACAACCCAGAGAAGGAAAATGAAATTAAAGGAACTGCCAACAGGTATAGAAAAGAAAAAAAAAAGGATAATATATAGAACATAACAAAAATAATGAGTCCAAATGTTTGAAAAGGCTGCCTTGCCTCTGGGAAGGTTTAAATTATAGTCCATAGATCATGCTGGAAATTGTAGAAGATTTTTCTTTATTTCCAAAGTCCATCTTAGCAAGTTCAGTTTTTATTTGGGTGACGATTCGGATTTGATTAATTCTCACGCTCCATTGTGCTGGCAGCCAAAGATCTTTTGCACGTTTGGCAGCATTGAATCCTCACTGAAGGCGCAGAGCATCTGCCAATATCTCGCACCTTCTCGCAGAAGTTCATGGACAGTCTGTCCTTGCTGCAGGGTGAGCCTGTTAATATGAGTACAAAGAGAAGTTACTGGGGTTTCATGCAACTGAGTTAAGATAAGACAAAATATCAGAGAGAAAGTGAAAGGAACCCGGCGATAAATAGGAAATCAAGATCAAGAGTCAGATAGTTAGAACTTAGAAAAGGTTAGAGGAAGGACAGAAGAATAGAGATGCATAAGCAAAATAGAAGATTAAGGCACGGGATAAATTAAACGGTTCTAAATAAAAAATGACAGGTAATCTTTCGTGATAAATGTTTGTAATAAAAGTCTTTCTTAGCTGGAATTAATGTGTATACAACCACTCTGGAGTCTGTACCAATCCTGAATCTGTGACAATAAACAGATAGTCCTTGACTTACAACAGTTTGAAATTACAACGTCACTGAAAAAAGGGATTTATGTCCATTTTCATACTTGCAACCATTGCAATATCCACATGGCAGGGGTGGGTTTCTCGCCCAGTTCCAACCGGTTCGGTTGGAACGGGGCCGGTGGTGTCCTCGTGCACGCGCGCAGTGCATGCATGCGTACTAGCGTATGTGCGATGCTCCAGCTGCTCCTGCAGGATCGC